ATGTTGGGGGCAGGATTTGAAGTAACCGTAAAGCCAGACTCAGTGGTAGTGAGAAGGAGGCAGGCTTGGAAAGCTTTTTATTTACTTGAGCAAGTAGTCTTATGTTCCATAAACCTGGAAAAATAAGGGCGGGGAAGACGACGTCCATACCTGCTTAGTTAAATCTGTTGTGTCCTTTTGAAAGGAGGGCCGCAGCTAGACAGCTATGCTCTTCTTTATCTTAATTTTTTATATTAATTTTCTTTCATGCAATATATTTTGATTATTCGATTATACTCTTTCATTATACTCTTTCCCTCCCCCAATTCCAAGACCCTACTTGCCTCCTTCACTCCTACCTACCCACCGACTTCATCTTTTTCTCTTTTTCTGCCGCACAGAAGAAACAGACCAACCCCCACCCCACCCTGTGAGAATCAACTCAACAAGTTTAAAAAAAAACAATAAGACAAAACTCAAAACAAAACATCTACAAAAAAGCATGGAGTTTGTTTTGTGTTGGTTAGCTACTTGCGGGCGCAGGCCTGCCCTGGAGTGTGGTTGGTATACCTGGTGACTCCATTGAAGAGAACTCATATCCCTTTGGCAGCTAGTATTGATTACAAGTACCTCCTTGAGTAGGGTTGGGACTTTGTGTCAACTCCCCCTTCTCAGTGCAGATATTGTGTCTGGTTTAAACCTGCTCAGGCCCTGTGCAGGTTGCCCCAGTCTCTACGAGTTCGGCTGTGTGTCTGGCCTGCTGTGTCTGGAAGACACTGTTTCCTTGGAGTTGGCACTGAGCGTTGTTCCTCCTCCTCCTCTTCCACATAGATAGGTCCCTAAGGCTTGAGGGGAGGGATTTGATAAAGACATCCCATTTACAGCTGAGTGTTCTTTCAGACATTGCTTGATCGCTCTTTCCCTTCAGAGTAGCAGCGATTTCAGTAGATGCATATTTAAAGTCAGTTTCCATTTCCATAGTGACATCTGCTGGTGACTTTGCAATCCCATCAAGCATGCTAGGAATGATAAATATTCTTAGCTAATAGTTTCGTGTTTCCAGCTTTTTTTTTTTTTTTCACAGTGTCCAGCTTATTAACACCTTTTTTGGAAATGTCTTCATTGTGGTCTCAGGGTTAGAAAGTTGGACTCTTAGGACTCCTGGGCTACTTCTCTAAAGCAAAAGAACAATTACCGATTATGCTGCACTCACGGGCAGTGCATGGAACAAGCATGTCTGGACCTGTCTTCCGGGCTCAGCATGACCATCATAGCCAGTCTCTCTGGTCGCCCTGTGCGGGTCCCGCATTCCTCGTGAACTGAGAAGCCTGTAATTTCCTTGTTCCTCCCCATGCTTGCTGGATTCTTTTTCTGCATCTGGCTGGAGGAATTCCGTAGAAGGGAGGGTTGCCTCTTCCTCTTGACACCCTGGCCTTATCTGTCCTCCAGTTGCACACTGTTCTTGCTATCTAAAGGGAGCCAGGCCTGGTGGCGTGCATCTGTAATCCCAGCACCTGGGAGACAGAAGGGGGAGATTCGATCTCGTAGTAACCATTCTGCTTTTGTTTTAAAAGCAAAGAAATTAAAGATCGAAATTTATAACTGGTAACAGAGAGAGCTGAAAAGAAGACAGGTTGTTGAAGACAGAATGCAAACTCAAGGAGGGTCTGAAGAGTCTGAAGATAAGATCCATTTTATTTGTTTAAAAAAGTCTGTAAAGACTAATAGGTTTCACTAGTTCTTTATTTTCCTTAGGAAGAATGAGTTGGCAGCTTCTTACACAGAAGAACTTATTACGGATTATCGACAATGACACTTGGTTCATAGGCAAGAGAATTAAGAATAGGAGCTGAATTTTAAGAATGAATAGTTGTCTGATCCACACCCAGTGATGACTCGAGGACCTCGGTTTGATTTTTGTTTTTCCTCTGAGCTGGTAGTAGCTTTAGGAGTTGCTGGGTGTAGGAATAAGGACTCAGAGTGACTCGAAGAATAAATGTGATTCCTAGTCAAGCTAGTGGGTCAGCTTAGAAACGAGGCTTTCTATAAAGAGTGGACTGGAGCCGTGTGGTGGTGGCTCGCACCTTTAATCAGGAGGCAGACAGGTGGACCTCTGTGAGTTCGAGGCCAGCCTGATCTACAGGGTGAGTTCCAGGACAGGCTCCAAAGCTGCACAGAGAAACCCGGTCTCGAAAAACAAAACAAAACAAAACAAAACAAAACAAAACAAATAAAGGGACTGGATTTCTGTCAACCCCTGGTTTGATTGAGGAGGTATATCAATATGTATTCTGCGCTCCTCTCAGCCCATGGCTTCATGCCCTAGGAACGTGGGCCTTTCGTTCCTTAATCTTTCAATTAACATTTGATACATTTGTTTGTTTTTGAAATCTAAGCAGAGCCACTGTTTTCCATCTTCACCTTTGTTGATATCCAGCTATTCTCTTCCCTACCACAGCTAAGGAGTCCAAGGTGGGGATTTGTGTTAATGGGAACTTGCGCTCTCCTCCTCCCTTGTTGCCCATTGATTGGGGGCGGGGTTGAGAACCAGTTCTCAGCAGAAGACTGCACAGATGAGACTGGGGGCAAGATGAAGGAAAGTAAATAAACCGTTTCCATCCAACCATGCTTACATTTGATAGTTTCGCTGTGGAGCGGTTATATCTGAATGCATATATAATCTTTACCCAAATATTGATGTTAAAAAAAGTGCCTGCGATACGAAGCCGGCCTGTCTTGTCTTCAGGGTAATTATGTGAAGTTTTTTTTTTTTTTTTTTTTAATCCCCTGATTGTTCTCAGAACACTGAATTCACACGAGTGCTGCCCTTTAGTGTGGCCCTGGGAAAGTTCCTCATCTCTGAGATTCCCATCATGAAGTGGGGACAATAGCACTGCCAGTGTGGGCGGGCCAGACAGATGAAACAGGACAGCGCGGGACTACCTTGTCGCCTGGCTAGAGTACACCCAGAGTAAACTGTCTATGTAATTGTCATTGCTTTATCAACTTATAATTACATTGAAAGGACTACAGGTTTTTTTTTTTTTTTTTTAAAAAAAAAGATAGCATGAAATATTTGATGGTTAGACGCGAAAGGCAGGGGGTAAAATCACCATGTGTGTGTCTGCTTGGAATTTTCTAATTTATACTTCACTTGTCCAATGAATTTAATTGCCTTTCAATGGAGCAGCAGCACGGGAGAGAAGCATCTGCGTCTTCGTTTGGTCACTATGTAATCCGGGTCGGGAAGCGGCCTGTGTCTCTGGCTTCCGTGGCTGACATGAACAAGGGACAAGGGAATATAGAGAAGATACATTCATTGAAGATACAAACCGTTACAATGCAGTCACGTGCTGGATTATTGAATATGTTTAAATCGTGTTTGGGTTAGAGGAAAAGGAGAACCTTCTTAGTGTGAAATCGCTCGTTAATCATGAGTGGCGCTGTAAACATCCATTGTTACGTAGTAGTTCACGTTACATTTCCTTATTCCTTATGCTCTTACTTTTGCTGATATCACCCCCTCCAAATAAGCAAGCACTTACATTTAAATAATCCCAAATGCAAGCGTTTATTAACTATAGTTAATAACCATATATTGTGTCGGAAAATTGAGTAGATATTAAGTATTCTACTCTCTCTCTCTCTCTCTCTCTCTCTCTCTCTCTCTCTCTCTCTCTCTCACACACACACACACACACACACACACACACACACACACACCTGTAGTAGAAGAGATGGTGCTTAATTGATTAGCTCAACTTACCCCCTCTACAATGTATCCACATTTCAGAACTTTGTGTTGCATACAGTTAAGAGTTTATTTGATAATTTAAATACAAAACCCGGGTTAGTGGTTGACATAAATACTGTCTTACTGCTGACCGTAGACGACCTTGGTGTTTGATTTTGTACTTTGCATCGGATGGGGAACCTTGGTGATTCTGAAGCTGGAGGGCTTCTGAAGTGTAGTCAGGTGCCTGGCGCGGAGTGCTTGAAGGTGTCAACAGTTCACAGTGATCAATCATTCGGGAGCCAAAAGGCAAGATTATGCCATTAAATGAAAGGCCAAATTTGCTTAAGAGAGTTGGTATTTCCACTTCTAATCACTTTGTGCGGGAGGATTCTGGAATTAAAGTTTTAATAGATTTCCACGACCGAGCCAAAATACCACCGTCCTCTTAACTCGTCTCAGCCGTCGGGCCCTTTCTCTTGTACCGGTTCTCTCCTTTAACATGTGTTCTGGTTTGAGCCTCAGTGGAAGCCTCCGAATCCCAACGGCAGCCAAAATACTGGGGCGGTTCCTTCAGTAAGTGGGTAGCTACTGTGCTACCCACTGAGGAGCCAGAGGAATCATGGGTAGCTGGGGAAGATCTACACTTCTGCAGTTTAGAACATCACAGGGAGAATTTATGTTTTTATAACATACTGATTTGCTTAAGATGGCTAAAAATATTAAGTTTAGCATATAAGACACTCAAGCAATCGCTTATGGTAGACTTGCAAAAATTTCCCATTTTCTTTTCTTCACATTTTTTAAACAATCAGGTAGTTGAACTCAGAGGAATGTTATCTCTGGTCTCTGTCCCTGGCTGAGGCTTAAGGAGTAGGGCTAAGGCCATGGAGCTGAGCCCTTGCTCTGGTTTGTCTTTGGTTTCCTGCTTAATCTCCATGAAAGCCAACATTTCAACCAGCCATAAATTTCCTCTTTGAAAAGCAAGAGTAATTATTAGACCATGAGATGATCTCTTGGTGCCTGTCTCAGAGCTAGATCATAAAGTGCTCTGGTTGACAATAGTAATTGTAAATACTTTCATAGTCTGTATTATGTGCGACACACTTGACTGTCTACATAGGAATTAACTCTTTTAATCAATCATTAAGGAGCATGCCCTTACCTCCATTCTGTAGGAAGGGAACTGAGGCAAGGGAGGTTAAACTTACCGAAGCTCGTGCATCTGGTAAGTGGCGTCTTGTGCTTGTCATTAACTCTTTGCTCTGACCCCCTCTTTTCTTTCTAGGTGCTATAGAGACTTCAGATCGACTGGACAGGGAGTCGACTTCCCACTACTGGCTCACAGTCTATGCCACGGATCAAGGCGTGGTGCCCCTGTCGTCTTTCATAGAGGTCTACATAGAGGTGGAGGATGTCAATGACAACGCGCCACAGACCTCAGAGCCTGTGTACTATCCAGAAATCATGGAAAACTCACCCAAGGATGTGTCCGTGGTCCAGATCGAGGCCTTCGACCCAGATTCTAGCTCCAGTGACAAGCTGACATACAAAATTACAAGTGGAAATCCGCAAGGATTCTTCTTAATACACCCTAAAACAGGTAGGTCAATACTTTTAAGTGGACTGTGTATGTATACTCTCCAGTTCAAAACTAAGAGTTGGCATTTCTTTGTTGCCAAGTTTTCTTTGGTTGGGTACTCCCCTTTCTTTTTTCAGTTATTCAGAATAAGCCTTTGTTTGTGGATGAAATGTAATTCAAATATGTGTTTACCTCTTTGGGCTTCTTACCGTATGTCTCAGCTGTTCTCAGCCTGAGGGTTGCGACCCCCAAAAGACCATTGGAAAATACATATTTATATTATATTATGATTCATAACAGTAGCAAAATTACAATTGTAAAAACAGTGAAAATAATTTTATGGTTGGTAGTCACCACAACATAAGGACTGTATTAAAGGGTCGCAGCAATAGGAAGGTTGAGAACCACTGATAAAGCTGGTTTATGATTTTGCTCCATAATAACGCTTTTTACTCTGGGTCTAAAGCAGTTTTTATTATTTCAATAATAGTTCAGTGATGATATAATAAACCCAGAGCAAATTTTGCTGCTACGTATCGGAATTTTTGTAATGGTGCTTTATTTGGGAAGAATATTAGATTTTATTTCACAATTCATTGCTTTGTAAGTACTGTTTTAAGTTTTTTTTTTTTTCCCAGTGACTGTCGGTAATGGAATCGGGGCTGAACCACTATGGGGTTGGAAGCCATTACTTTGATGAACCAATACCCCAGACATTTCCTTCATTTTCCTCCTCTCCGAGTCTGGGACCCCACAGGGGCTGGAAAGAGCATGGGCTTCACTTGCAGAAAACCCGAGTTCAGTTCTCTGCACACACTCTGGGCGGCTCTCAAACTTCTGTAACCTCAGCTCTCTGGGTGTCTAATGCCTTTGGCCTCTGTGGCCCCTGCACATAGACACAGACTCACATACAGATGGATGAACACACATACGCTCACAGTGTGAAGCAGAAGTGTGTGTGAGCCTCTGCTTCTTAGGTTGACTCCACGGCCAGCAGTCATCCTCAATCCTGTGAGCCCTCAGCCTCTGCTCTTCCACACCGGAGAATGTGTTTTATTCTTTTCTTGGCTCTTAGGCCTCTTTACTTGCCACATTAAAAACAAGTGGTCAGTTCAGGTATTATTATAGTGAGCAACGTGGCTCTGTTTGAGCTATGAAAATTTTACACATTGAGTGCAGGACAATTTTATTTTATTACTTTTCAGTTAAAACAACAGCTCCATGACATTGATAAGACAGTTTCTATGTGGGGTGATGAAATGGCTTAGCCTATCAGTTACTGGCTTTAAAAACAGTGTGTGTTTCTCCCATCTTTGCTGGTAGAATCTGATGAAACTGTCATTCCAAAGAGCGAGATCTATGTTAGCTGTTCTTATGCCCCGCCTAACCTTTGTTTGAATGTCAAGAATTTTTAAAAGCTTGATCTTTGTTATTGTGTCTCCTCCACATGTCATTCTTACTTCTTTCTTTGTTTCATTGAACTTAAAATGAAGCAGATCTTAAGAGGATAGGCACCTGAATTCTGAGTTTGTGGAGGAAATGTCTGTGTGTAGCTGCCCGTGGAGGTCATGAAGGTATACTGTTCTTTGTCTCTGGAAAAAATGTGTTTAAGGGCTGGTGACTTGAGTCAGTGACCAAGTATTTGTCCAACATATGCACAGCTAGGCTCTGTTCCCTGTGTGTGTGTGTGTGTGTGTGTGTGTGTGTGTGTGTGTGTGCGCGCGTGCGCGCGCGCGCTAGTGTGTGTGTTAGGGGCTTAAATTGTAGTACCTGAATGACTTCAAGATTTATTTTCAGTGCTTCCTCATAAATTTTTTTGTTTGGGGATAATTATACTCCAGCATTTGGGGAAAATTCTGGTCCAGTTTGGGTTCTTAGAAAACTAACCGAGTGTCAAGACTGATTGAGCCTTTAAAAAAACTGGAGCATACAAAAGAGAGTTTGATAGAATCTGAGAAGTAGGTTAGCATCTTGGCTGGACCGTGCCAAGTTTCAGGCAGCCGCTAGCAAAAAGGCTCGTTTTAGCAGTGTGATATGAACTGCTTTCGCCGTACAGGTGGTAATTAGGTTCCACAGTTGTTGTGAAATCAAATGAAAGGTATCCAGAAACTAAGAGTCAGACTTAGAACACGTTGCCAGCTATGAAACAAGAAATGTGTAAGTTTAAAATAATTTCGGGGTGAGGGGATTAAGAGTCCAAAAAGCGTACACAAACCAAAGGGGTGGTGGTCCCGGTGTCGAAAGAAAGAAGTCTAGATGTAAAAGCCTCGATGAGATAACTAAAGAATTCGACTAGCTCCGCTTAAAACTGTTTCTTGAAGTAGACATCTTATGCCTTCAGTCCCTCGTTTAGATTAGATTAAGTCCCCTGTGAAGAGACAGGAGCGAAAACAATAAATGTCCTTCTATTATCGGACTAAATACTGCCGGTCTGGGCATAATTAATAGGAGAAAGAAAGTTAAAATGGTCTAGGTTAGGTCCCGGGAATAATGACGCCAGTGTTGTGTCCCTTGGGATGAGCCGGTGTCCTGCCTGGCCTTCCCTTTGAGTTTCTCCTTCCTGGCCCTAAGGAAATGCCGCCTGCTGTAGACTCCTGCTCTCTTCCTTATCTTCCCTGTGAATACACACCCTCTAGGAGTTCACAGCGAGCTCTCACCCCTGGGTGAGAAGCACAGCTATCCTGCTGCGTAGATAGTAGGAGAAAATGCCCGTTGTTTCTTGTGGCTTCAAGGCAAATGGAAGTGGAGGTTGCCGAAAAGCGTGTTCCAAACTACTGTCTGTTTAGGAAAGAAAGTTGCACAAATCACCGTGTCTTTAAAGATCCCCAAATAGCCATCGCTCAGCAAGCATATTGTTAAGAAAATATAATAAGTACAGTTTCACGAGCCATGTCTCCAAATGTTTCTGTTCTCCCAACTCAGCCTACGCTCTAAGTGAGATCCTCAAGGCTCTAGCTGTATTCACAGGAGGCGCCTTATCCCCTGAAACCCTATAGCAGGCCCTGAGTTGTAAGAGGTGGTTTGTTCAAATGGGGGTCTGGATTGTGGGAGCCGGTGAAAGATGATCTGAAAGAAGAAAGTTCTTGTGATTTACTGACCTGGAACACCACCTGGAGACCTTAAATCAGGGTCCTCAGTAATTAATGACCGAAGGAGGAAACCACTGGACTGGAACTCTGAGATGCGGCTATGGTCAGCCTTTCCTCCCGGGACCACAGCGGAAACAGACATCAGGGGGTTAGGCTTTAGATTAGCGATGAGCGGTCTACACTGTTAATAAGGTTAGTCCCCCCTGGAGTCCTCCAAGTCCTTTGTGGAACACTCACCGCCGCCTGTTCCTCTTACATGTTTCAGTTGCTTGTTTGATGCGTGCGAGCAGCCAGGGTTTTAGTGGATTAATACAGTTGTGCGCTTTCTTGGCAGAAGCAAATGGAGGGTGAACTGCACATTTGCTTCCCCATGACTATCGTCTGTGGGGACCACAGGAAACCTAACAGTCAAGTGTCTGTTCGGACATGGAGTGGTTTCTGCCTTTGCGCTGGGAACGGGGCACCTTGAGTAGGGCTTTCCAAGCCTGTTGTTTGGAGGTGTGAAGGAGCCTAGGGAAGGGCTGCGTGAGGCAGCCTGGCACAGCCTGTAAGGAAGGGTGTGCGGGGGAACGGACAGTCGGGAGAACCCCAGAAGCGCTGTTGGTTGGTGAAGGTGGGGAAGCAGATGGAATCGGCAGCATCCAAGAGACAGATGGACAGACGGCAGCCTAGACCCTTGAAAACCAGAGTAAAGACTGAAGGTAGTGTTTGTGTTACCTTTATAAATACGGACTTATTTTCTAACCAGAGTCTGTATAAAATCCTTAAGACATTCTGTACACATTTAAATGACCTCCTTATAGTCATTTTATAAATGAGGCAAGCATCCCAGTTTTTTGTTGTTGTTGACAATTTTTTTTTAATAAGCCTTCTGGAACTGAGTTCGTTTTTTTTTCCCTGAATTTTCATCTCCAAGAAGCAAGTTTGAATGAGCTTCTTTTAGTATCTTCCAGTGTTTAATTATGGTGCTGAGGCCGTCTTTCTACATCTCAGACAGTTGTTACTACACTAATTATAAGTAGGCTTTGATGAGATTTCTCATTTAGGGCACACAGGCAAAAAAGGCTTGATTCATTTTCCTCTCCTAACACAGACCCTTTTGTTAACAGCGTAGATTTTAACAACTCTTTTTTTTTTTTGTTTGTTTGGATATATCAAATATCAGTTAGGGTCAGTTTGCTTCTTTTAACATAAATTGTGCCTTTGCTCAAGGCAGGAGCGAGGCAGGAGCATAGGAGCATAGATATTTTATTGTTTGGAGCCTTGACGCGGCCTGCTCACGAAAGCAGAAACACCAGAGCTCCATGGTATGCCAAGGACAGGGGAGGAGCCTCAGACAAGAGAGACCAGTGTGAGCTATATGTGCTTCAGTGTCCTCCAGTAACCCCCGCAAAGTGACCCCACCTGTGCGTGCGTCTTCTCACTATCAGCTTGGAGGAGTGACCCACAACTTGAGTTGCCAGATAAGCTTGAAGGTTACCCTTGAGGCCTGTGCCCGCTTCACAAAAGACCCATGTCGTCTTCGTCTCGTCTCTGTGCATTTGTTATCTTTTGGGCTTTTGATACAAAAGTCTTTTTTTTTTTTTTTTTTTTTTAACTTTTTAGAAGCTCCTTTGGGGGTACAATTAACATGCAAGTAAATCGCACACACTGCAAACCTGCAGTTTGGTAAGTCTTGACATTTGTCGGTACACGGGAAGCCCTCACCTCGTCAAGTCATGGGCAAACCCTTCACTACAAAGAATTTCCTCTTGGTATTCTGCTGTCCCTGTCACTCTCATTGCCCCCATCCCTACATGGTCTCTGATCTGCCCCTGCCCTTATATTAGTTATATATAATACATTTGCTCTTAGAATTTCACATAGATGAGTTGACATGGTGTAGACTTTTTTGGGGGGGAAGGTTCCATACTTAGCATGTTTCTGAGATTC